TTCATTGATATGTTGTTCCTCTGTAACTTTGATTTTTTTTTTTATTGTGACGCCATCTTGGTTCGATGTTTACCAATTTAGAGTGACATGAAAATTTGAGTAATACTCCAAGATGAAACTGAGTCCTGTAATTTAAAATGCAACCCATAATTCTTGAAATTTATGCACTTACCGTCTTGTTATTACCGGCAAATTAAAACCCTTTAGGGTTAGACTAGCTGGGCAGCGTGGCCGCGTGGTTTGTTGATATCCCGCGTCTGAATCACGTGACATCGCATTGCCTAATAAGTCGTTCCAAGAAACACTCGCACGATTGGCAAAATCATCGAATAAATAGGCAAATATTTAATTGTAATTTTCAATTCATATTTTTCTTTTTCAAACAAGCAGTTTGTTTCTCTTGTATTTTAAGAGAACTCCTTTGTGATTCTATTTTTTAAAGAAATAAATCCTAGAGTTATCTTTCCTTTTCCTGCAACTACTCTGGTTAGAGATTGATGACACCCTCCCCCTTTTTTTAAAAACAGACCTACCTAATAAAAAATGTTAATGTACTGCGCTCGCCCCAACGGTCACACCGTAAAACATATTATCGTTGAATTTTAAAAAGATCATCTTAACCCCTTGGCTTATTAACGTTTCGCGGATTTTAGTTTCTGTAATATTGTGACGTCATATAAGTACGTAGTGCATCACCCAACAGTTGGGCCTGTTTGAAGACTGATCATTCACACAGCATTGACAGCAAAATAATATGTGGGCGATTAAAAAAGTATGGAGTTTTTATTATGCAGTGGAAAAACACCAGTTGTGGTCTTCTTTAAGCAAAGCTTCGTCCAGTGTATCTTTATCCTATAGTATGCGTTTTTAAGACGTAAAGTTCCAGCTGCAGATTTGTGAGTGTCTTAAAGGTTTGTACAAAGTAGCCTACCATATATGCTTTTATTTTTAAATTATGCAACTATATTGTGTTTATTTGGCAAATGTTTCAATTATTATTCAAAATAACTTGCATTTTTTAATTTCTAACTTGCCCAAGTAATATAATAATATAAAAAAGGTAAATGCTTTTTTAAGGTTATTTCTGGGATTAGGGGTTTTCCAGTTTTGATGTACAGCTTCTTTCTAAAGTAAATCGTACTTTTTCGACTTCTAGCGTAGAACAAAAAAAATATAGTTGTAGAAATGTTTGCAAATTATGGCGTGTGTTTAGAAATCTTAATGGTTGCGCCCCTTAATAACATGTATTTGGTCTGATAAGTTTTTTTTTTACTCCGTGTCCCACTCTCACCAAAGAGTTTGGTTCGGCCGTTGTGATTTTTTTTCCCAGAAAAATAATGCATGTAGTGGCAAAAGTTACAAAGTTCATGTTTGTTTTGTCTAGGGATTTTTAAATACATGTCTTATTTTTCCTTAACAGTGTTGAGTGACACTCAGATGGAATCTACAGCAACATTAGACTACAGTCTGTGATGATATCCGGTTCTATGATACCTGAGTCTGTTTGTTAAAATGGTGGCCAACGACCATATCATAAGGTTTTATATTTAATATTGTGCCTCACTACTTGTATTTGATTATTGAGTGATGATTACATGAATACATAAAATTAAAAATATGCGAAAGAAGCATTTTAAGTAATATTTAGAGCGTATAACATTAATTATTATGTTTGGACAAGACGATGAATTTTAATTATTTGGTGAAACAATACCGAAAATTATATACAAATATACACGAATTCAAACAATGTTGTGTAACTAACTCCGATTCTATTTTCAGGCGAAGTACTGAGAACTGCACAGACTAAATGGATTACTTTAGGAATCAAGAAGACAACATTTTGACAATGCATAAAAGATTCTACGCAAATAATTTTTATCAAACTGTCCTTGAAAATACATCGTTTTTATTTAAATTTAATTTTCTGCAAATTCTTCTCCATAATTAAAATAAACGTTAAAATTGATCATTCATCGGCATTACTTGATTTATAGAAGTCTGCTGTAAAAAACCAGTTTTGACAAATACAATATGTACATGTATAACTATATTTTTTACAAGGAAGATTTTATTTGCATTAGCTGTATGAATTAATGGTGTTTCAATGCCTGCAGTCCCTATACATGTATATACGGTGGAATGTACAACGCCTGCATTGCATCAGTCTTTTGAGTCTATCATTGACTGCATTAGAACTTATGTGCATGCAGTCGGCCAATGCCTGCATTGACTGACTGATGAGCAGTCGGGCAATGCCTGCATTGACTGACTGCGCAGTCGGCCAATGCCTGCATTGGCTGACTGATGTGAAGTCGGCCAATGCCTGCATTGACAGACTGATGCCTGCAGTCGGCCGGTCAATGCCTGCATTGACAGACTGATGTGCAGTCGGCTAATGCCTGCATTGACTGACTGCGCAGTCGGCCAATGCCTGCATTTTTTGATTGAGGAGCAGTCAGCCAATGCCTGCATTGACTGACTGATGTACAGTCGGCCAATGCCTGCATTGACTGACTGCGCAGTCGGCCAATGCCTGCATTGACTGACTGATGTGAAGTAGGCCAATGCCTGCATTGAGAGACTAATGTGCAGTCGGCCAATGCCTGCATTGACTGACTGCTCCGTCGGCCAATGCCTGCATTGACTGACTGATGTGCAGTCGGCTAATGCCTGCATTGACTGACTGATGTAAAGTCGGCCAATGCCTGCATTGACTGACTGATGTGCAGTCGGCCAATGCCTGCATTGGCTGACTCTCTCAAGGTCCAATGCAGGCATTGGCCGACTCTCTAGAGAGCCAATGCAGACATTGATGGACTCTCTTGAGAGCGTGAGAGAGTCAGCCAATGCCTGCATTGGCCCTTGAGAGCCTTGAAATGCCCGAGTGACCATAAATAGAAAGAGAGAGGGAAAAGGATAAAGAAAGAGCGATTCACATTGCCTGCATTGGCCCTTTTTATAGTTGTGCAACCTGCATTGGCCCTTTTGATAGTCGTGCAACCTGCATTGGCCAATAATAAACACATTGCCGTAAGAAATTGGGATGAGGTTCTGGCATTGACTTAAGAATAATAGCCACCACTGCATTGCAAGTTTATTCACTTTCCCAGGTTTTAAATACATTTTCTATTCCTTTAACGCCAAATTGCATTAGTTAATTACATTTAGAACAAATTCGATTGCATATGTGATTAAAATAAAACACAAATCAGAATATGCTAAAATTTGCAAGAAATTGAATTGACATCATGTCATTGTTCCCGTTGTTACTTGTATCATATGAATTTGGAAATAAGTGAATAAAACCATACCATTTGTTTCGGACTAATTTTGTAATCATAAACAACTTCTTTTATAAATCTATTAAATTATATTTACTTTGGTAATAAAAGTCAAATTGTCTTTCCAAATTGCCCATAAAATCGAACTTAAATTAAAAAAAAATAAATTTGACAGATAAAAATTAGTTGAGACCCCAGTTGCAAAAATTTTTTCTTGTTTTTGTCTTTTTCATTTCCAAATTACTTTTCTCTCTTTTATTACATGTATGTAAGATTTTGCCGAATTTTAAAAGCTATTTTTCGAGATATTTGTGAAATTATTGTAATAATCATGATCTGTGTTGAGAGACTACTGTAAATGAACGTAAACGAAAAGAATTCATTCTGAAATCTATTTCTTGGGATGACACAGCATAGAACTCTAAAGAAAAGTGGGTCGGAAGACCTGCCTGTTGCTCTAGCAACAAGAACGTATCTAGTTATTATTATTATTCTTTCTTCATAGTACAGCTGATATCTCAGCAATGCGTGGACGAATTTCAAAGATTTTTTACAGGGCTAATGCAATTTGTGAATATCTCCAAAAGTTTTTCATTTTTTCAAAATTCACTTTCGTTCGCGATTTTGGGGGATTTTTGTATTTCTAAAATAGCATTTTGTCCAGAAAATTTGTCAACGGCTTAAGATATGAAAATGAAACTCACTGAGGTGAAAGAGCATCGAACCCCGTTATGGCCAACGGCCTTCATTTTTCGTCGTCGGCACTTCCGGTCGCTAACGGAAGTGAATTCAAAAAGTCCAATTTCTCAACTTTTTTGTTTTTCAATATTTTTTCTTTAGGATTTTAGGGATTATAGAGTGTCGTATGAGAATTCTAAATATATGTTCAGTATTTTGATGCGTGCATATCTTGAAAAGGTATGACCGAACTAAACTTTGTCCCAGTGCCGGGGGTTCGAATCCCCGCGGAGGCGTTACAAAAAATTTTTCTTTGTTTATGTCTTTTTTCAGTTGCAAATGACTTTTATCTCTCCTATATAACACGCATGGAATATTTTACCGATTTTAAAAGCTATTTTCTGAGATATTTTGAGGAATGCCTGTAATTATCATGATGTCTGTTGAGACACTTCTATGAATTAATGTCAACAAAAAAATACATTCTGAAATCTATTTCATGGGATGACTCAGCATAGAACTCCAACGAAAAGTGGTCGGAAGCCGCTTGTTGCTCTAGCAACAAGAACGCATCTAGTAAAGGTCTTCCGTCTTCATGGAAGACCTTATAGTTATTCTACTGTTTCTTATTATTATTATTATTATTTTTTTTCCCAAAATTTTGTGCACGCGATTTCTCAGCAACCATTCAATGGATTTCAATGAAATTTTCAGAAATTATGCGCATCAATATGAACTTGATACATCTGGGAGGAAATTTGATAATTCGCTTTTGGTGCCAAGTTATGGCCAGTTTCCTTATTTTAAAATGCGATTTTGTCGCGCACTTTTATCGAAAATGGCGGACAAGAATATGAACTGGAGACTTATCTAAGAGCATAGGGCATGGTTATTAGATGTGCGTAAGCCCAATTTCCTGCGTTGTCGGTGCTTCCAGTAGCTGCCGGAAGCGAATTTAAAAAGTGCATTTTTTCATTTTTTTTGTTTTCAAAGGTTTTTTCTACGATTTTAATTATCTTAAAAGTGACTCTTATGCGAATGAGAAATATGAAATTTGTTTAAGAATTGAAAAGGACAATATTTCGAGATATTTGCATTTAAATATTTGAAGCGATGTTTTCAATGGCTGAATACGTAGCGCGTTGGATTGTCGCGCGGGCGACCCAGTTTCGCTCCCCCGAATATCCGAATTTTTTTTTTTTATCATTTTTTCATCTCGATTTTTGGTGTTTTTAATACGAGAATCGGACGGAAGACCTCTCGTTGCTCGCAACGAGATCTCATCTAGTTATTATTATTATTCTTTTTTTTCTTCTTTGTTCTCCGGTACTTTTTTGTCCGCGAGTGTTCTCAGAAACTGTTCACCCAACTAAGCTAAAACCTTTTTTAGGGTTAATATGTGTGAAGTGTAGGTGTGCGAAACGAAGGTGCGTGCGCGTGAAATGAGTGAATTGACTGATATAATTAATATAGCTATAACTTTTACATTTTTTGATGAAATGATTTGAAACTCATTATATAACAAGATGTAATACTGTAGATAATGTGACACTGTCAAATTAGCATGAACTCACGCGCATGCACGTGCGCTTCACTCTGATTGGTTGAAACAAAAATCTCAATATCTTTGCTGTTTTTTGAAAAAATGCTATGAAATTTAAAACATAGGCATACTTCAGGATGTACTACAATATGACATATAACAATTGTCATGTAAACACGCGCATGCACGTGCGCTGCAATCTGATTGGCTAAAATTTAAATGGCTATAACTCCCTTGTTTTTCAACCAAACAGAATGTGATTTGCAACATAGATAGATATAATGGACTTCTACAAGAATGTATAGTCACCATGCACATTCATACGCGTGCGTGTATGTGCGTTGCAATCTGATTGGCTGAAACTTTAAATAGCTATAACTCCCTTAGTTTTCAACCAAACAGGATGAGATTTGGAACATAGATAGATATAATGGTCTTCTACAAGAAGGTATGATCACCATGCACATCCATACACGTGCGTGAATGTACGCTGCAATCTGACTGGCTGAAACTTTAATCAGCTATAACTCCCTTGGTTTTCAACCAAACTGAGTGGGATTTAGAATATAGATAGATGTAATGGACTTCCACAAGTAGGTATGTCACCATGTTCATGTATGCACGTGCGTGCACAACTACAACCAGTGATCGTCCTTTGAGGAAAGTTTCAGGAAGATTGTCCCAGCCATCTCCGAGAAACAGCCTGGATAAAAAAAACATGCGTACAATATCATATATGTCGTCCCCGACTTCGTTCGGGGCGACATAATAATAATAACTAGTGCTAATTGTAACGGGGACCGTTACATATGTTCCCCAAACGCTCCCCAACTCCCTTTTGGTGCCATATTCCCTGTACGCTTTATTAAATAGGACAAAATCTATGTGTTTGAGACTTTAACAACGCCAAATTCATTCAGACTTTTGCATTGCACGCGTGTGCATGTGAATGCATGCGCATAATGACCAAATCATCTTGTCTACACATTGAATATATTTAAATATACTAAATATAAATGAATTTGATCCAAAAGTATTTAAAAATACGCTCATTCAAGTGTATTTTTGATTAACTCATTTCACGTGCGCGCACGTGCATACATGAGCATGGTGACCATATCTTCTTGTAGAAGTCCATTACATCTATCTAAGTTCTAAATCCCACCCCGTTTGGTTGAAAAAACATGGGAGTTATAGCTTTTTAAAGTTTCAGCCAATCGAATTACAGCGCACGTACACGCACGAGTATCCATGTGCATGATGACCATATCTTCTTGTAGAGGTTTAATATATCTATCAATGTTCCAAATCCCATCCTGCTTGGTTGAAAACCACGGGAGTTATAGCTATTTAAAGTTTAAGCCAATCAGATTAAAGCACACATGCATGCGCGTGATTTCATAAATTCTTATCTTTATCGTATTGAAGGATATCTAAATGAATGAATATATCTTAAAATTCCAAACATTTCGTCATAAAACAAAGGAGATATAGCCATATAAAGTTTCAGCCAATCAGATTGCACACACGTGCATGCACTTCATTTCATGATTTTTTTTTCTATATCATATTTTAGGATTATCCTAATGCATGACTATGTTTTAAACTTCAAAGCATCTCGTCAAAAAACAAAGGAGATATAGCCATTTAAAGTTTCAGCCAATCAGATTCCAGCACGCGCGCATGCGCATGCTTTTAGTGAAAATTTATATATACATCATGCTGTAGATCTTCATAAAGTAGGACTATGTTCAAAATTTCAAAACATTTTAACAAG